TCGTGGCTGCGTCGACCACATATTCACCATTCGTCAGGCCCTAGAACACAGACATGCTCATCGGCGTCCGACAATGGTGGTCTTTCTTGACTTAAAAGCAGCATTTGACCCTGTAGACCGCGAGATTCTGTGGCAGTGTCTGTCATTGAAAGGCGTATCCCAGAAATACATAAACCTTATAAAGGCTCTTTACTCGAACACTACTAGTCGAGTCAGAGCTTATGGCGAACTGTCATCTACTTTTGCAACCTCAAGTGGTGTCCGTCAAGGCTGTCCACCTTCTCCATTTCTGTTTAACTCCATCATAGACCTACTGATGGAAATAACATTCTCGTCGACTGAATTCTTGGGTATTGATCTCTTTCCAGGAGGTCCACTTATCGACTTAGAATACGTAGGTGACATATTCGTGTTTGGTGAAGACGCTGACAAAATGCAGAGTCTTTTGGTAGCACTGAGCAACAATGCCAGAATGTTTGGAATGCGCTTCTCTCCCTCGAAATGCAAGTTCTTGCATCACGACTGGCCTGCGTCAACACCTGAACTAAGGATAGGGGGTGAAGTGGTCGAACGCGTCGACAACTTCACTTATCTTGGAAGTATGATCAGCCCTAATGGGCTGGTATCGGACGAAATCTCAGCACGGATTCGAAAAGCTCGCTTGGCTGTTGCCAACTTACGTCACCTTTGGCGAAGGCAAGATATCCGTCTACCAATAAAAGGATGAGTATACTGCGCGGCAGTCCGTTCTGTTTTAATTTACGGCAGCGAAACATGGCAATTAAGAGTAGAAGACACTCATGAGCTACTAGTATTTGACAACGGATGCCTCAGAAATATTGCTGGCGTCTGTTGGGATCACCGGATAAGTAATAGTGAGGTTAGACGCAGAGTATTGGGGAACGATGGTGAATCAGTAGATGAGGTTGTGAATCTTCGTCGACTGAGATGATTGGGCCACGTGTTACGTATGCCTGAACGCCGATTACCACAACGTGCAATGCTAACCGGCGTTCGGGATGGTTGGAAGAAAGTTAGGGGCGACCAAGCCAAAACGTGGCATCAGTGCTTGAAGTCATCAACTTCTATTATTAGCCATGTTGGTGGATGCAGACTACTTGGTTGGGGTCTGCGTGACTTTCGTAACCAATGGTTGGAGAATATGGGTGACATGGCTCAGAATCGATCACAATGGCGTCGGTGTATACACTCTCTATCTTCCCTTAAACTAAGAGATTAAAATTGCTTCATATCTTTCTTTCTACAATCTAATTCTTTCTTCCTGTATTATATCCTTATTGCAATCTTTCTTTTAGATATTGCCGCCTCTGAATTAACTACTTATATGAATCCGGTGTCCATCTTGTGTTAATGAGGTATGGCAACTTGAACCGATGCATAAATGTGCCTGGTCCTACGTTGTAGCTGACTGACTGACTGAATACGACCATTAACACTAGTGGATACATATTTGTGTAAGCGATAAGGTTTAGATTTTGACAAAACATGTACACAATTGATCCTTTACGACATTCAGTAATATGATGAAGGTTTTCTGTGTTTGCAAAATACCTCCCTATAGCCAGTTGCTCCGCAGTTTGTGCATTTATGTCCATCGAATGGACAAAAACGGGAGAAACGCCATTCTCTACAGTTCCAACAATTAGTGGGAGGCCCTGTAGAGCGACATGAATCAGAGTCGTGGACACTATATATTCGATTCGTGCGAAGAAAAGTTTGTGAATCATGCTTCGCGATACTAATAGTACCCTCTGAATGAGAACTTTTGATCAGATCAAACAAACTGAGATTTGGATGTCCGATCATTTTAGTATCATTTTCACGATTAATAATATGACGATATTAATTTGCGATATCCTTCAACGTAAGGTTGAGATCTGCTTAAAATTCTAATACCAATAGCTGAGTCTGACGATTATTGCAACACGCATACAAAGATAAAACACTTAAATTGTTCGTCAGATAGTGAACGCAGCCCAAGACTCTCGCAGTGCTCATTAACAAATGCTGCATACGAAAAAATCATCTTCAGGTCTTTTAACAGTTCTCAGACAACTGTATAGCAAATTAAATAAGAAATCCTGATTAGTAAAAATTCGTTAGTTTTTGTATAGTAAAATCAAAGGAAAAATCGTTGGGTTTATTTGGCAAGATAAGGTTTGAATACTTTCCATATTCAGATGATTCAAGCTTACGAAGTAGAATTTCCACCCTCAAAGAGTCATCGTGATAAGAAAGCTCAACTTGGAAAATGTCTTCGTACCTACTGAACTATGATTCACTTATGACACCGTCATCGCAATCAAAACGAAACATGCTCATTGAGTTGGTCAGTGATTAGGTAGTCGAGCCCCTTAATCCGGACACCTGTACTGAATTTTCTTGAACCGACAAGCTCTGTATCATCATTTCTATCGTTTTCAATTGTGATGCTTAGAATTCTTTTTACTGCTGCTGTAAAATTGGTCAGCGTTGATCTTTTGAAAGCGATATTATAGAATTGGTGTTTTTGCATAGGTTTGTAAAAAATTTAACTTCACCAGAAACTGCTACGATGGGTGATGTCCGAAATCTGACACTGATATGTTACGTACTACACGCTAACTCCTCATCTGACCTTTTCATATGCTACTTACCATATCATAGAGAATAATATGAATTCATTTGACTTTATGGTTTCTCATCAGCTGTTTTCAACCATTGATGTGTAATAAAATAATATTGAGTTATGATATAATGTGGAATTATTGACGATGGTGACGAAAGGAATTAGAATATCAAATATTATCAACAATAGCTATTTAGATATATCTGCACAAGAACAAGTGTGAGGTCATAGAAATGGGAAAACATAAGGAGAAGAGTGGAACATTAATTAAATAAAGTTCAGAAACAGATTAGGATAGATCATGTGATAAATTATAGAAGTTGTGAAAAGTTTACATCAGTTTCAGATAACGTAAAATAGATATAGAAGATTCAGAGCAATGAAATGAAAGTTGTTCAAAAATTCGAGACTGAAGGATTACGCAATAATTATGCGAGATTTGAAGAGTTTACATAATTTTCGAGAACTAATTGAATGAAAGGATGATTTTGATGTACATATTCCTCTTCACTACTCAAACACCAATAATAATAATAATAAAATAATAGTAATAACAACTATGATTACTCTTACTTTCCTAAAAATGTTCTAAAAGCTTCCGTATTTATGTTTGAATTATTTTTTCTGGTTAGCGCTTTTTAGAGAGTTAGTTTTCTACAGGATGGGGTCGCTAATCCCATGTCCAACTGTTCTCCCTTATCCGGGATTGGAACCGGCAGTAGCCTCAGAGAGGCTCCGGGCGGAACTCAAAACAACTACCAATCATCACCGAAGTCAGAATTTTCAATACAAATGTCAAGACAGTTCTACTATATGCAGTGGAAATTTGGAGAACTATGAAAACCATCATCCGGAAGGTACAAGTCTTTGTCAACAGTTGTCTATGCAAAATACTTCGGATCCGTTGGTCAGATATTATCAGCAACAACCTACTGTCGGAGAGAACAAACCACTGTCCAGTAGAGGAAGAAATCAGGAAGAAGCACTGGAAGTGGATGGGATACACATTGAGGAAAGCACCCAACTGCGTAACAAGGCAAGCCCTCACTTGATATCCTCAAGGCCAGAGGAGAAGAAAAAGACTAAGGAACACACTACGCCGAAAAATGGAGACAGACATGAGATGAATGAACAACAATTGGATAAAACGAGAATGAAAGACTCAGGATAGAGTGGGTTGGAGAATGCTGGTCAGTGGTCTTTGCTCCATTATGGGTAACAGGCATTATCTGTCTTTTTTCAATTAATTAGTCAATCATTCAGTATTATTTTCATAACCACTTGGAAAGTTACATTTATGTGTAACATTTTTACTTGATTTATAGTTACCTTAGTATTGCTTAGCTTCTCTATATTAGTGTAGAGACAGGACCAAAAAAATTAATTGAAAGGAAATTTCTTCATATTCCATTCCACTGACCACTTTTTTGAGGATACATAAGATCATCGTAATTAGTGATTGACAACCCTAATTGGCCTGTTTTCATTAAAATTCTTATCCTATACACTTTACTCCTCAGTTTTACACTTTCCTTTTTAAACATTCCTTTCTAACTTACTTTGTTGTGTTTAGTATTCGTAACGATTACTGCTAGTATTGTAACAATGTTTAATTTGGTTTCATTATATTGATTCTCACTTAACTACATTTGTAATGATACTTGGTAATTGGGTTATCTATTGCAAAACATAGTGTCATATAATGATATTTAGGTATTCTCACTTAATTTTATTATGTTCAATCAGTTAATATTATTTATATACCAACTCAACTGATATACCAAGTTACAAAAATCAGTTATTTGATAAGTAGTTCCTTAAAGTCTAATTAACATTGATAATTATGATAAACATCTGTTGACACCAAGCGAATTTGTATTTATAATTATTGACTATTTAGAATAATGTATTATTACATAAGAGTAGAACAAGATAAATATATTTGATTTTAATGGTTTTTGCTGATGATGTCGTTCAGAGAAATGATGAAAGCTCCATGATCAAACTATCCAGCTCAGAGAACAAAACTTCATCGAAATCATCCAGTTGAGCTATAAATCTTCTTCACCATCTCAAATATATTTGATTTATATTTAATGAAAGACATATTTAGTGAGATTTTTCTTTTTGTTCTCAAACAAAATGACAATAATGATGATGAATAAATAAAATAATTCATTCTTATCACAGACAGAAATAGTTATTCAATGCTCATTGATCATAAAGAAATAAAGAAATATCAAAGAACTATAAAATAAAACAGAATAATTACGTAACTACAATGAGATCGATAGAAATTAAGCTTTACGTGTTTTAAAGTTATGAAATAAGATTAGAAACATTTGAAGTTTCATAAATTCTCTCTCACTTATTAAAATAAAACTGGTTCTCGTTGAATACCACTGGGTATCATTGGACATGATGACAAATGATTATTTGTATTTGTACCATTATCAACAATTGTAGTATAATCAAGACGTTTACGTATATTATGAATTTCTTCATAAATTTGTAAAGCATTACGTTTCTGTTGAGTATCATAATGTAGTTGAACAATTTGCTGTTCTAAATTACTCAATATACTCCTGGAATATTTCCGGATAGATTGAAATAAATAAAGATTGATATTCTCACATGTTAGAAAAGTTTAACATTTTAATTTTAGAAAAAAGTATATTATACGGTGCATACTACGTTTGTCCAGGACAGAGTGGGTTGGAGAATGCTGGTCGGCGGTCTATACTCCATTGGGAGTAACAGGCATAGTAGTTAAGTAAAACATACTACGTTACATTTTATCTCAATTTAAGATGCTGAGCACATTCATTTAACAAGATTTTGTTTTACCATATGGTTAAAAGTTCAGTAATTGAGTCATTAATTCGGAAGTTAGTCATTTCACCTGTGAATGAAATTTGCTAAAGTACACGAATCCTCCTCATTCATATACTATATTTCACAATTTTCTTTTTTTACTCGAATACTGACTTGATTTTATAGACATATTTTAACTAATAAACTGAAAATGTCTGGTGTTATAGTTATTTTGCTGTAGAGTTGATTCATAATCCAAACTTAAACATGTACGAAGTTATCTTTCATAACTAATAGAACACAAGTGAAAAACAACATTGATATATAGTTTTCCAAAGAATTTCTAAATATCTCTACCATGTAGACAGGAAAATCATGAATTCCGCGCGGCGGAATCTTGGATGCGCACTGCTGAGAAGTCCCACACTACGATGAAACGACCGTCCAGTAGTTCCGCGTTTTCCATGGTGGTCTAGCTTCAAATGACTTATGAAATCAACTATTAAATTACTATAATATTTACAAAACCCCTTTCTGGGAAATTATGAAATGCCAAAATTTAAAATAAAACGAACATAAACCTATTTAACGCATTAAAATTGATATAAAAAGTAAATTCTATTGAAATAACTACTTTTCATGCGGGATCAGTACAAGATATATGAAAATAACTTGTAATGCTAGTTCCTGAGTGATTATTTATAAATACTTCTTTTTCAGTTCAATCAAACTAACTACACTGAATTTCATTGAAATATGTCCTAAGCTAAAGTTGGTTCAAAGGATTTGTTGGAAGTTTTTCAGTTCCTATATTTAGCATTGCTAATCAATATTTTAGGTGCAAACGATTAGATAACTGTATGGGTTTATACTCACTGTAAACACCTAATAACCTAACGACTGCATTTGTCTGATCAATGTTATCCCTGTGAGGAACTCGTACTTTTGTCTGTATGGTTACTCTCTACTCAATTTCAAAATGAATCAAACTAAGAGAAACTATACCCTCATGTTTTAAAGCAACATAAGATTTTCAATCCCATCAATAAATCTTCCGACTTCAATGAAACGATTCCGAATATATCCTTATTTTCATTCTATAAGCTTTTTGATAAAAGTGTATTTAAACTGATCATAAATGTTAGTTTTCAAAATGCTTATGGTCATGTTTTCCTCTTTTAAAACTTCATATCATGCTACTGGAACTAATCTACAATAAGTAGTATAAAAATGTGAAAAAAAACTAGGCAAGCATAAAAAATGGAAATACCTAGATTTTGTAAGTTTTTCTTCTAACATATCAATACAATTACGTAGGCTTGATAACTCTTCTAGCAGGCTTAATTGTGGATCATCTCGAATATTTTCATTCCCGATCTATTATGACGTTTCTCCAGTCGTGTTTCGGCTAATTTTAAACTTTCTTTTTTGCACGTACAGTATCTTCTAAACTTTTTATATCTTTTAAATGTTCATCTCTTTCATTTTCAGTCTACAATGATAAAACATGCTAATGACAAGTGTACGAAAAAAAAGTTTAGAATATAAATTCACCTAGTATTTTTCACTTAAATCTTCCCATTGATCTTTAGGACTGTAATTGAACAATCTCTTATTGGAGTATGTGCATACTGTGCGAATTGTCTCGATATTGCCTTGATTCACAAGTATTCTAAGCAAAGATGGATAGTGGCTAGCAATGGAATCCAGGACGCGCGTTTGATTCTAAGTGGATAACGCGACAAAGTTTGAAGAGAATGGTACTAGGTTCGAATCCCAGAGTGAACATCAACTCTGGGATGTAGTTACATCTAGCTGACGAGTCCAAAATAGGACGAAACATGCGTCCTGGATTCCACTGCTAGTCACTATCCATCTTTGTTTAAAAAGTTTAGAATATAATTTAACAAATAAATAATTTTTCATACCGAAAGTTATTTAAAACATTTTTATGAAAATATTTCATGCATATTATAAAACTGTCTAAACAGTCCCATTAAAGATTTTCGATTCAAGTTCTCAATAATTTTTAAGCATGATTGTTGTATAACTTCCTGATAAGCATTATTACACCTAGTTCCCTTTATCATTTTGAAAAGAGCAAGAACAAAGATTTTAGCAGAATAGCATGAATTCATTTTATTTCGTAGGTTCTCGTCAGCTGCTTACAACCTGTGATATCATAATTGCATAATGGATTTAAATTGCTTACAGAATATTGTAAATATATACCTAATGTGAAAGAATATTCTACAACATTAATTGTGACAACAGTTCAAAAATGGGTTAGAAACAATTGATTACATAATGAATAAACATTGATAGGAATATAGTGATTAGAGTTCAGTTGAAAGATTATTAATTTGAAAGATAGTTGAAAAAATAAATTAGAATCAATGATGTAATAAATGCAACAGAAAAAAAGAGGAAAAGAAAAAAATTTTAAGGTTCAGTGAAGGAATATTTGTCACCAGGGTAAGGAAAGATTAACCACCGTCTCCTTTTGTATACATAGGTCAGGTTTTTGTTGCCTGATGGCAATGGCTTCAGCAAACTTCAGAAGACTGGAGTTTGGCTGCTTACTAATCACCCTAAAGGATTGTAAGGTATCTACCTGATGTCCTGTATCAAGGAGAACAGTGCGATCACCAAACATCTCCTTGATACAGGACATCAGGGTGATTAGTAAGCAGCCAAACTCCAGTCTTCTGAAGTTTGCTGAAGCCATTGCCATCAGGCGACAAAAACCTGACCTATGTATTCAAAAGGAGACGGTGGTTAATCTTTCCTTACCCTGGTGACAAATATTCCTTCACTGAACCTTAAAATTTTTTTCTTTTCCTCTTTTTTTCTGTTGCATTTATTACATCATTGATTCTAATTTATTTTTTCAACTATCTTTCAAATTAATAATCTTTCAACTGAACTCTAATCACTATATTCCTATCAATGTTTATTCATTATGTAATCAATTGTTTCTAACCCATTTTTGAACTGTTGTCACAATTAATGTTGTAGAATATTCTTTCACATTAGGTATATATTTACAATATTCTGTAAGCAATTTAAATCCATTATGCAATTATGATATCACAGGTTGTAAGCAGCTGACGAGAACCTACGAAATAAAATGAATTCATGCTATTCTGCTAAAATCTTTGTTCTTGCTCTTTTCAAAATTATTACACCTTTAAAATAATTGTTTTAAGTTAAAAAAAATTAAAATATTTTAAATGGAAAGTGATTAAATGTAATATCATCGAGTAAATAGTTGTTTGACACAATGATTGACCATTTGTCGTTCATATAATCAAAAATATTGTCACGTAAACGAGTCTAGCTGACAGAATTCTAATTGTTTTTCTTACATTTGTCCTGTAAATTAGAAATCTAGTAGTTCGGTTTCGTATTACCCTAATATTCAGTGAACCGAATGAAAGCTACCGTTTGAAGTAATCATAGTTTATGTATCTTTTCAACACACTGATAATCAGTAAAATAAGTAATTTTCAGCACTGATAAACTTGTTGCGGCTGAAGAATTCTTTTTCAGAAAGTTATAATTAAGCTACTTATGAAGCTAAACTGAACCGCGTATTGATTTCGAATCCTTAAACCTTGTAATACATGAATTTCTTCAGGTTAGCTTTGTTATAGTTTACCAAGAGCCTCGATTAATTGACTAAGTGATATTATGCAGGCAAAAAGAGTCTTGGTTCCTAGATTCAGTCTCGTGGGGGAACGTGTGGTAAGTGTTGTCCATAAATTCCAATATCGTAAGAATCAGTTATCCAATGTCCCCAGACTCTTAATAATTCTCCTACTGATATAAATAATCAATAGGCACCGGTATGTTTATCATAAGAAATTAAAGAGTTAACAAATTTTAAAGCACACCCAAATGAAGATGACTCAAAGAATGAATATATGAAAATCATTTCAACTAATAAGATTTATAGCTTACACTTTTAATTTGATATTCGATTTCACGTAATGATCTAAGAGTATCATGTATACGCCTACGTAGTTCATTATCTACTTGACTAGCTTTACTCGCCATCCTGTTGATTGCTTTATGCAGACTATTATGCAATCGATGTAGTAAATCATCAGCCTTTTCAATTACATTTCAGCATTTCCTAAAGTTTGATAACTTATGTTCTCCCATGTTTGCAAATCTATTGAGCTATGTAAATATAGGGAAAAAGAATAACTGAATGAATGATTGAGAATTATGATGGAACAATTGAATAAATTTAGGGGTAAAATGATAAGTCTTAATTAGTTCAGGAGTAATATTCATCATAGATTGATCTTAGTTAGATTACTACTGAAAACTAGGAAGCAACTGACTGCTGTTTCGTCCTAATATGTGACTCCTCGGTAGTGTGTGCTCTCACCTCTCGCAGAGTTAAAAACCGTGACCTTCATGTCTCTAATGGTTTCTAGTAGTTCTTCATTCGGTGTGATGTCTGAAGCCCTGGACCCAACCTCTTGAGGAGTCATTGATGGAGACTTATGACGAGTTCCAAATTATGATGAAACAGTTGCTTAATAGTGCTTGCTTCAATGGTACTCATAAAAAATCAATCTGTAACGAATGCAACGTAGAAATTAAACCAATTTCCGCAAAATCCCTTCAACTTAGCGTTAAATTTGTTAGTTGAAAGGTAGTTTACTGTCACAAATTCAAATTTATTAAAACAAAGATACTCGAATATTTTCGATGATAAGTGTATGAACACTTAACGGAATGAACATATACTTCCATATTCATACCATATTGTTCTGTCAATAGACACAGAGAGTGATTGCAACCTCAATTTATATGTTATGAACAGCATGAAAAACATTTCTGTTAGTTTTAATTCATGATTATCAAGCGCAATCTTTGAATCCAGAGGCCGTGTTTAAGTTCAAATTGTATAATTAGAGATTTCCTCAAAGAATTGTTCGTGGAAGAGACAAGGGGTTAATGCTGAGAGTAAGTGGAATATATAAAGTTAGTTCAATGAGTGTCAATTGTCATCGATCAAGGTGAATAGGACAAGTTTTATGTAAATTTAATCACCAGATTTTGGAAATCCGATGTTGGTTAATTTAGCTTGGGATTAGTGGAAAGTTAGAAATGATCAAAATCAATTTGATAGATGCAGACTGACTGGTTTAAGTCAGTGCAAGAACCATGGTCAGTGTTTGAAAACCTTAGGTGATTGTGTTCAAAAGCAGTTTCAGTGGAGCTTATCCACTCACTTTCTATATTACCTTTTACTTCTAATTTTAATATTAATTCATACGTTCCATGCCTTATTGTCCATTCTACTTTACAATCGCTGACACTACCATTATTTCAACCCATATGTCATGGATCTTGTCAATTTCATAAGGCTATATTAATGCCATGCAGAAGCCTAGACCATTGTGTATATGTACAAAGTCCTATAGTTTTGACTGAGTGACTGACTGAATCCCATCAGTACTCTATAGAGTAAAGGACAAAATCTTGAAATACATAAACGTTGAAATCTTTGAAAAAACGTCAAGAAATCTGTTCAGTATTCTAAGTTGTCTCTTATTCAGTCACCATGTAAAAAAGAAAAAGATTTCAGTAAGCTTCGTTTATAAGAAAATTCACGCAAATCTCAATTTTTTAAGAAGACACTTAGTGTCAAAAAATAGTAGCTATCTTCAATATACTCATTATACTTATTAAGAAAAATAGATTTACATTCTTCTATTTTTCAAATGGAAATTAAGTGAATCGGTCAGTTAAAACGTATGACCAGGCACATATATTCATCGGTCCGAGTTGCCATACCTCATCAGCATAACAGGATGAACACCAAATTCATAGAAGTAGTTACTTCAATGGTAGTACCATATATAAGAAAGATTGTTCATAAAGATGTAGTAAAGGAAGAAAGAATTAGTTCATGGAAAAAAGTATAAAGCAATTTTAATTCCACGGTTCAAGGGAAGATAAAGAGTGCATACATCGACGCCATTGTGATCAATTCTAAGGCATGTCACCAAGAGTCTCCAACCATTGGTTACGATAGTCACGCGGACCCTAACCATGTAGTCTGCATCTACCAACATGTCTAATAATAGAAGTTAGTGACTTCAAGGACTTATACGACGTTTTGGCTTGGTCGCCCCTAACTTTCTTCCAACCATTCCCTACACTAGTCAGCATTGCACGTCGTGGTAATCGGTGTTCAGGCATACGTGACACGTGGCCCAATCATCTCAGTCGACGAAGATTCACAACCTCATCTACTGATTCACCATCGTTCCCCAATACTCTGCGTCTAACCTCACTATTACTTACCCAGTGATCCCAGCAATTGCACGCCATATTTCTAAGACATCTGTGATCAAATACTACTAACTTACGCATGTCTTCTACTCTTAATGTCTACGTTTCTCAGCCGTAAAATAGAACAGATTGAACTGCTGCTCAGTATACTTGTCCTTTAATTAATAGATGGATATCTCGCCATCTCTATAGGTGACGTAAGTTGGAAGTCGGTGAGATTATATTAATACACCAATAAAGATATGGACGTGACAACATAACCAGAGGATCAAACTGTATCAACTCATCAAACGTTTCGATGAATAAATATCCTGTTTTCAATCAGTGATGGTTATTCACTCACCTTTCTGGTAAACGTTCACAGAACGGTTTTTGACTAATACAAGATGACTTTTCATTCAAATTATAAACATCAATATCGATATGTACAGCTTCATTTTTATTAAGAATATCCGAATAAAATGGTTTTGCTACATTATTTATTTCAACTAATAAATGAATTGCTTCGTCGATTTGTCGTTGAAGATCTGTTTGTATTTCTTTCAATAGATCACGTTCCTGATAGAATTAAAAATGAATATTTTACTAGTCGAATACAGTGAAAATTTTCAAAGAAGTTTTCCCTATTTAATCGTTCAGTTATTCAATACTAAAATGTTGTCAATTAATTATATGAATTTTGATTAATGATCAAGTAGAGTGTACAACAGTTCGCACTGTAGCGTTTTACTTTTGTGAGACGTGACCAAGTCACTAACTACAATGCCTTTACGTACTTATTAACTTAGGTCTGTTACACCTTGTGGAGGAGCGTAGGCCACCCACCAGAATTCTCCATCCAACTCTGTCCTATGCAATCCTTCCCAGTTCTTTCCAATTACTATTCATCCTTTTGATGCCTGCTTCCAATCCCTGACGTAATGTGTTCTATGGTCTTCCTTTTTTCCTGTTTCCTTCAGGATTACAAGTATGGGCCTGCTTCATGATGCAGTTTGATGATTTTCATGATGTATGTTCTATCCACTCCGAGGGTCTTTTTCTAATTTCCTCTTCGTCAGAAAGCTGATTTGTTCTCTCCCATAGTGGGCTGTTGCTGATGTTATCCAACCGACGGACATTGGGCATTTTGTGTCGACAAGCGTTTATATATACTTGTACTTTTTTAAGTGTAGTGCCCAAATATTACATGAATAACCAGAGATATTTAGTACTGTCATGTTATATTGCTCACATTGTTATGTGACATGCAAGAATTGGATATGACAGCTCCGTTTTCATTTCTGGTCTAATGAATGGCAAAACATGTATACCTGAGTTCATTATTTCAATTTCTTACAAGAAAAAAAGTGAAACGTTTTCCTTGATTGTTAATTTCGTCTTTTGTTATTTTCTCTATTCCATACATTGATATCAAGAATTGGTTCTAAATGGATAATCATTATTTGATTAAATTTTACATTAGTTCTGAAACTCTATGTATGCTGCCATACACAAACATAGGAGATCCTTCAACGTCCTACTTTTCAGTTTGATAACTTGTGAAGAATAGTTCAGTTTGCAGGTAATTTTATTTATAGAACTACATCAACCAGAAAACCATTAGGAAATAGGGGGCATTGAGTAATTCCCTCAACTTACATTTGAACTCTTCATTAGTGTATTCCACACACCTATTCGAACCCAAAATCTTAACGTTAAGTGGAGAGCTGATAGTCTAGGAGACGATTGGTTTACCACTTTTCTGTACTCACACACCATTTAAGATGAAAAATTCTAAACCAGGCACGTTGTCGAAAGAAGTCAGCCAAGCACTTAATCGAGATTGCAGATTAAACATCCTTATCTGTGTTAGCGGAGTAATATATATATAAATGATTTGTTTAAATGATTGTTTAGTTTCGACGATTACACCGCAACTTAGTGAGTTAAAGTTTCCTCTTATTATTAGCTGTGTGACGTTCGCTCAGCTGATGGGCACACATTTTTATCACTAAGTTAAATGATTTGTTGTGTTTTAAAAAAATATTCAGTATCAACTAAGAGCCTAAAATGCAAGTTCCAATATAAAGTTATGATGGTAAATATTTCAAAGTTGATTTAGTCTGGTAATAGATAAATTATAAATGGTCGAATATGAATTCGTCCAATCAGTTATTATGCAATACATAATCAAATAAAATTATTGATTCTATTATTACATTGAGTTTTAAAATCATAATGACTGGTTATTTAAATATGAGGGCAATATTGAAACATCATTATTCACTATAGCTATCATTCTTCTTCATATTTCAGTTTCAATCATAATGACATCAATATCAGTAACAGACGTTAGACGTTAGTTAAACTGGATGGTTTGAATTCGATTTCAGTTTCCTCAAAATTACAGTTACACATTCCCATACGGATGAATATTAATTAATGAGAAACATATATCTAAGATATTCTGACGATTGCCTCCAATTAACTAGAGGCGAAGGAGCCTAAGATATTGAATGATTTATACTAGTGGTTACATTGCCATTAGATTATTATAATTCGAATGGTACTAAGAATTAGAAGTCATGAAGTTAATTACAAATTTCTGACTAATTAATATAAATCTGATAATTAACTTTCTTCATGTTCCCTATATACATTGTCTTTTAGCACTTTTTTAAGTATATTTCACATTATTTATATGTTTAAACATTGCTAGGCCAGCCTGTATCTTTACTATTAATCACTACAGTATCGATATTTTGTAAATAACTAATTTTTGAATAATGACAGTTGCTCATTATGTAATTAACCCTTGACTAAACTGCAGATTTTATTAATCAATTAAATAACTATCATTATAAAGAATTACACCTGATATCTCCTATATTACTTACTTATTACTTTAAGTAACTTGATATTATATTACAGTTTGTTTGTTGTTCGATGGTTGAAGGGTATATTCAAAAATACATGGGCCTACATTTTGTGTTACTAAATATTTGTCATCACAAAGTGTTCATAATCACGTGGTAACTAATCCTCTTTGTGAGATTTGAATCCAAGTAACTTGATACACCAGTCAAGGATTATCTTTTCAGTATGAGTGTTAGTCTTAATCCCTTAATGATAAGTTTATTCAGTTGGCTAATAATCCTGTTATCCGAACCTATTCACTTCCTAGATTTCAGAACTAGTTTTGTGAGCAAACTAAAATTTGAGTAAATTAATAACCACAATATTTTATATAATAAAATTTATGGCTATTTACACAACAAAGGTTACCTTGTTTAATTCCTTAAAAACAGGATCAATAATATTCTCATCATTTTGTCTATGATCCAAATGTGTTAGAGATTCAATGTTGACATCAAATGAATCATTTAATTTAATCATAAATTCTTGTGTTTTATGTTTAACAGCTTTTAAATGAGTATCTTTTTGCTTGAGTTTATTTAATTGAGTAATTAATTTATCACGCCATTGACGTACAATCCATATACGATCAGATAAATGATTATTTGTTTGGAGTTGATCGTATCTATTTAAACAAGACAAATATGATATGACAAGAGAATAAAAATAGATTTTTACCAACTAACGATTCAATAGTGGCTACTATAAATATGGTTGATCAAGACTTTCAAATTTCATAGTTTGCATCACAGACTGATTTTAGTTGGACAACCGTTGAACACCGAGAGGCATTGGCTCAGTCTTTCGCCATGTTATGATATTCTTCAACATTTCGTATACATGATCAAAGTCATGACCATAGGGTCTCTCGGTGAGCGCTCAATCTTTATATTTCTAAACTGCTAAATTCATTCAATTTGCAACTGTAAACCAATGGATGCTAAACAAAAATCATGAACATGAGTCTCTCTATGAATTCATTTAGTTGAACTCTAATGGAATATATGACTACTTAGCCGAAATTTCTGCACACCTTAATAATTTACACCTAACCATTCAATAATGCTTTACAATAATCTCCTTTTTAAAAAAAAACTACAAATGATCACTAATATAGTGTACGACACTATAAAACAAATATTTACTGAAATTAACAATGATGAGTATGAAAAATCATAAACAATGTCCAATTTGTGATTATTTTTCAGCAATGAGCAATATGAACTCAAGTACTATTATAGACCAGAAAACAAAGAACATTCATTTTATATTCATCCAAAACTCTTCCATGTACGTTTAAGACGTTCATTGCTGACAACAATCGTGGCACTTTTTAATGGTTGGATAGGAATTTTGACTCGTATTTTTAAATTTAGTCGATCAACAATATTTTGAGATGGTGAAGAGTATTTATCACTCAAGTTGATGATTTGAATTGAGTTTTGTTCTTTGCGCTGGATGTTTTTATCGTGGAGATTTCATTGTTCTTTTGGTTAACATCAGCACAAGCTTCAGGTAGAAGTGAAATGTTAAGAAAAACAGTGAAAGCTTCACAATCAAATGATTCAGCTTAAAGAACAAAACTCCGCCTAATTCATAATACTGCATAACCATCATTTAATAATATCAATGACATTTGTTTTTCTCTGTTATTCACAGCTTTACACTCAAACTTCAGTAATTCGTTTTCGTTTACAAAAACTCTAACTTAAAAAACTATTCACCATCGTTGGTGACATTCTCACTGCATTATGACTGTCAGATGCAGTCCATTGAGGTAAAAGTCAAGTTACGTTGTTAGTATTCGATTAAAATGTTGTTTTAAGTACTGACTCCATCAAATATAACCACTGAGTAAGTATTCTAGGGTTAAGGCTTACTGTATCGGTTAAATTTAATAAAGAAGTTGGGGCTGTGAAACTTTATTCAATAACATGAATTTTGAATCTCTGAATCATGACCGCCCACCTCTCACATCTATATTTCGCAATGATTGGCATACGAGTAAGCTGAAATGTTGTTAACGATAGCCATATTGAGACTTCGTCTGAACTGTTTCAATGGTTTCAGACTTCTAGCACAATAACCGTAGCTCATATTTACGAAAATTCCATAGTAATAACATACTATAATTTGTTCATTATTTTCCTCTATACCTCGAGCTTTAAAAGTTTTCAAACTTTTTATGCTAGGGTGTTATTTTTTCAAGCTTACTTCTGTGCATTTTAATCTTATTACTCTAATGCCATGATAATTCTGGATTAATTGATAGTTTCATATCATTGTGTTGGTGTAAAGTGCGATAATATAGATTCATGCCTATCCTTCCTCAAGTTCTCATTGTTTATAATATATTGGTTAAAAAACACTCAATCCACTGCAGATTTTACTGAAGCTGATGGTAGAAGCTGAGTAAAGAAAAAACCTTTCAATTAACTTCTCATTATAACTAAACAATAATAGGATGTAAAATTCGAGAAAAGATGATGATAGCAAGCACTTTCTCAAACCCAATTTGTCAGACCTGCCTATAACACGGTCAATGTGGAGTGAGGAATAAATGTCAGACGATAAATAACTTATCTCTAGGCCGCAGAAATATGATCATATAAGTGTAACGAAATAACTAAAAAGCACCTAATGGAAAGAATATAAACAGATTTACCAATGGCACTCTAATGTTATGTTCTATGTGTTTTAAACTTTATTACTAGATCAAACGCATTAATTTTAACGTACTTTGTATTTATATCTGTTTCGATGCGTGTAGCTCTAACCAATTGACGATGATCATATGATATATTCCGATAACCTTCAGCCGCCTTTCTTTCAGTGTGGAGATTTTCAAACCAACTAAGATACGTTCTTTTTGTATCCGGTTTTGTTACAGTTGCCATTTAAAATCTGACAGTTTGACAGTTTACCTAGAAAAACCTAAGACCAAGTTCTACGACTAAAAATTAGTTTTGAACAAAGTTTGAATTGCTTTAATGAAATTAAATTTTATGAAAAAACGGATTCGGATTTACAAAGCCCAAATTATACTGAACGTGAGCGACTGGTCAGGCTAAGTGATTATTAAAGATGATAAAACCCAACCTGCTAATATATGCAGCAATAAGGGTCAGTTAAACGACTCGATCATCCCATGCAAAAAAGAATGGCTCAACTTTGAAACATAGACTCATTTGGTTAGACATTTGTTTTGTATTTTTGATCTGTTCCGTCAGTTCCTGTGAGAAGACGCTTGGCTTGAAACTTTACCTTGATATATTTAAAATCTTACGTCAACGTCTTAGACGGAGTCCTAAAGAGAAGCTGATTATCATTTTTTTAATTCATTAAAGTTTGATCGGTTGGTTAGATAAATGGATAGTCTGAAGCTTAGGAAAGCCATTGGAAAACAAGTACATAAACTCATGATCTTTTCTGACTGTGTATTTATTTGTGAAACTATGCATCATAATTTTTTATTTTTTTTGGTTGTATAACTTTTGACAAGTGAAAGAACAATTTACAGGGCCATAATGTTCGAACTACCCGATATTAGCTTTGTATACTATTTTCAATTAGTTTCTTACTCAATATAAATATTTGGCATTTCATTGTTTCATTACTACGATTGTAGTGTTAGACATTAGTTTTAGCCCATAATATATCTTATTCTAGTTTTCGGACATTCCATTCTATTCATTCTACTTGAGTCATATGTTGACCTTGTCAATTATTCGCTTGTCAGTCTTGACTGTTTTTATGTGAGCGTATATGTGTGTGCCCTTCTTATTCCATTAATCACATGTCTGTAGCTTTCATTTGTCTGACTATAAATAATGAGTAACGCTTGACTAAAATGGAGTTGGCTTCCCAGCCATCCTCCGTGCGCGTCATTTTGCTCTGTTCTATTACATTCACTTTACATACAAAATATATGTATTCAAAGGCCATTCTCGTTAATTGACTTATCTAATTCCGTTATTGACTAACGTGACGACGCGCGCTATCTAAAAAGGACAGTGGTATTGTTTCTCGTTAAATTTTTAAACTGTTTTGATCGTAAATTACGTATCAAAACTACGATTTACACTTTAATTGAATCTACTCCAGTTAAGGTGATATTTTACTGAGTTTTTTTGGCTTTTGTGTATTTATTACATTCGAAAGCATTCTTGGTCTGTATCAAAGTACTTTAGTTAAGGTTTGACATCTTGCTAGAGTTTGTCTTGTGGTTCATACTGTGATCATACTGTGTATTACACCTTAATCAGACTAAAATGGTTGGTAGTACCCACAAATGTGGACAACCAAACTGTTTGTTCCCTGTGGAGGAGGGAATGCAGTGTGACGAATGCAATAAATGGTTCCACAAAATGTGCACCCGTTTAAGTCCCACTGCATATAAAAGATGTTCGAAGCCTAACTCACATTGGCTTTGCATGTTTTGCTGTGCCAACAAGGCATTGCTAATACAGGAGGCTATGAGCCTATTGGCTTTGGCCTGTAAGAAGAATGATGGCATATGCGCCGACAACACGGGCACTGACAGTGACGAATGTGTCAGTGTTGTTACGCGACGCCTCAAAAAACCGACCCTGACCGACGTAAAAGTGAAATCTTCGTTGATATTAACAGGGGGAGTAGTACCACCTAGTACTGACATTGTTAATAATGCACCTTTAGTGGGAACCGTAGATCTGGATAAAACAGTCACCGTTCCAAATAGTCCCAGTGTTATGAGGGATGAAAAATGGACTACGGTACGTAGGAAACGAAACGAAAAGAAAAAAGCTGTAAGCAGTACACAGGCAGTTAGTAACTCACTGGTGGACTCAAATTGTGAGCCACAAATTGCACTACCAAGATCTGATCGTAAGAGTGAAACCCATCCTGGCGTAACTGAGAAGAAAAATCTAATAACATCGAATATTATTGTGAGCAAATTGCGGGAGTCAAATGACCCTGATCCGAAAATTAGACACGCGCATGACTTAGAAAAGCTAGGAGAATACATTCGTAGTATTTTACCAGATAACTCCAAAGGAGTTCAGGTTAAAAAGTTGGTAAGAATAGGCAAGAGGACCGAGGACAATGTTGAACCCCGTCCATGCAGACTCCTTAAGGTAATCCTAGGATCGGAGAAGCAACGGGATCTCTTGTTAAGTAGCGCTCGTTGTCACGACAATTCTGACATCCGAGTTAGACCTGACATATCTCTCGAAGATAGAATAAAAAGGAAGAAAGCACTAGCTGAGCTTGAAACCCGTCGGCAAAACGGCGAGGAAAATCTCCGGCTAGTGGGTTTTCGGATAGTCAGGTCTTGGAAGCGAATGCTACCAAGGCCTGTGTGGATAGGCTGTTCTACTTAGGAGTTTTATATGCCAACGCTCGTAGTCTACGAAATAAGTTCTATGAACTAGAAGCACTAGTGGACAGGTTAAAGCCACTCATAGTAGCAGTGACAGAAACTTGGTTAGTCGATGACTTAGACATTACTCCAGAATTATCCGGATACCATTGCATCAGGAGTGATAGACATAGATGTAGGAAAGGAGGCGGCGTCCTGTTATACATAGCCAATAGCATAAATATCCGCTCCTCTATTAGCGAATCCCATGATAGCGGCACTTGTGAAGTCATTAGCTGTAAGTTGGCTATAGGATGTAGTACATTTATGCTAGGTGTCATCTATCGGAGCCCAATCTGCCTAGCTGATGACTTTGTTTTAGAGCACATTCATCTTTGGAGTGAAAATACCAGATGTTTGATAATAGGAGACTTTAACGCACCTGATATTAGTTGGACTGATATGACCACAGAAGGATCTATAAACTCCTTTGATAGTAAGTTCCTGATGACAATAATGGAGCATGCACTAGTACAGCATGTATCCCAACCCACACGTTTTGGTGTTAACCAGGGTTCTTCTCTGCTGGATTTGGTAATCACTCATGAGACTGAGGATATTGTCGACTTAAATATTCTCCCGCCGTTAGTGAACAGCGATCACGCTGTTTTGTCATTCACGTTTCGAACTAGGGACATGTTATACGATCAGGTTACACCTCGCCCAAATGTATGGAAAGCTAACATATCAGCCATTCAGGAATGTGCTGCTAAGACAGATTGGTTAGTAGATACTAGCATATCAGTTGAAGAAGCATGGTCTGTATTTAAAGGTAAATTTAGACTAGTTACGTCCCCGTTCATACCATACCTGGTACCGCGAAGACCGAATAATAGTCCACCATGGATAACTAAAACGGTCAGGAAACTCCTTAGAAAAAGGAAGAATCACTGGGATATGTTCATCTCTACTGGCTTAGAACAATACAGATCCAGTTACTGTAAGATTAGGAATGCCTGTAAAGCGTTAATAAGTAAAACTAGACTATCATACGAAAAACAGTTGGTTAGGGATTCTAGATATAGTCCGAAACGGTTATTCTCGTATATAAAAAGGCGAACTAAGAGAAGTGATGGAATTCCATCACTTTTGATACGAGAAAATCCGTTAATCTTAGCAGAGAATGATGCCGAAAAAGCTGAAGCTTTATCGGAATACTTTAGTAAAGTGTTTTCTATCGGTAATGAGGAACGACCAATGATTCGTCGCGACCGTGACGGCTCGCTGATGGATCCTGTAGTCATTGAGAAAGATACTGTTTTAAGGCTAACTCAGCATCTCAAACCTGATAAGTCCAGTGGTCCTGATGATATTCATCCTAGGATTATGAAAGCCATATCAGATGAAATTGCTGAACCATTAGCGATACTATTCGACATGTCTCTGAGACAGTCCAGACTTCCTAGAGACTGGAAAGACGCCATAATAAGTCCGGTGTATAAGGCTGGGAGTAGGGATTTAGTTAGTAACTATAGACCCGTTAGCTTAACTAGTGCAGTTGTAAAACTGATGGAGAAAATCATTCGGATAGCTGTTATAAACTATGTTGAAGGGCAAAATCTTTTCTCCAGGGCACAACATGGTTTTCGGAAAGGCCTATCTTGCTTGACAAATCTTCTCATTGCACGAGAAGATTGGGCTGCGGCAAAGGATCGGAATGCTCCTGTGGATGTGATTTTCATAGATCTAAGTAAAGCCTTTGATAAGGTTTCCCACTCTGGTCTTAAATTCAAACTGAAACGTTTTGGAATCCATTATACAGTCGTCGATTGGATAAGTAACTTTCTCCATGACAGGAGACAAAGGGTAAGGGTTAATGGGGCTCTCTCCTCGTGGGTACCTGTAAAAAGTGGGGTTCCCCAAGGTACAATCCTAGGTCCTCTTCTCTTTTTACTTTATGTAAATGAATTGCCAACTGTAGCAAAATCATCCGTTCTACTCTTCGCTGATGACATAAAGATTTGGAGACCCATACATAGCATGTCGGATAGGATAGTATTACAGGACGATCTTAGCTCATTGGTGGCATGGTTAGATAGGTGGTCACTAGAAGTAAATCCTAATAAGAGTGTAGTGATGCAGTTAAATAACTCTGATGAATCGTATGACTATACACTACGTGGATTCGTGCTACCCAAAGTAAGAAACTATAAAGATTTAGGAGTCATATTAAGCAATGATCTCAAAACGACTAGTCACTGTAAGGCTGCTGCTGCAAAAGGCTATAGGGTATTATGGTCAATTCGTAGGTCTTTCCAGTATTTAGATGATGAAATGTTTAGATTACTATACCCGATTTATGTGCGACCACATTTAGAATACGGGATTCAAGCAGCGTGTCCTTGTTTCAAATATGAAGCAGATATGCTAGAAAGAGTCCAACGACGAGCTACTAAGATGGTACAAGGTCTATCTGGCCTATCTTATGAAGACAGACTGAGACACCTTAACTTATTTCCGTTATCTTACCGTAGAATAAGGGGTGATCTAATATTG